TGGGCAGCTCTCAAGTGCCTGGATATAACTCTAGTTCCGGGGAAGCAATGCTCTCTTTTGGCCTTTGTAGGCACCAGCACAATACACATAAATATATAATTAAAAAAATTTCATGCTTAGGGATGTATTTGTTTTGTATGCTCTAATAATACAGTCTCTGGAACCCCATGCCATATTACTAGAAATGGGAGGTAGTTGGTGCAGCTCCTGGTACAGTGAATCAAAACTGTGTGTGTCTGTGTGTGTGTGTGAGTGTGTGTGTGTGTGGTGAACTAGAGGGGCACAGGTGTGATACATGCCACCTGCAGGAGGCATATGCATGGCATCATGTAAACGAATAATATCCTAGCTACCCATCCATAGGGGCAAGGAGAAAGCGTTAGGGTATGTGAAATAGGCCCCGAAAATATCATTCCTTGAGCCACTGGGTGATTTCTTGTGAAGGAAGGACTAGAAATCAAATCATGATTGCCCTTGGTATCAGTGATCGGTTTACCCAAGCATTTGCATCTTCTCTGAGTTTTCCTCCTTTTCTTGACCACTATCCCCACATTGGACCTCAGGAAATTATATGAAAAGTCATTAGAAGGAGCATATGACTGTTGACAGATTGTTCCGCAAAGCCTTAAGTCCCCCCCCCCCCCCCAAAAAAAAACATGACCAGACAGCATTCAGCTGCAGGAGAGCTCAGAGGCAGTCTCGGAATTACTGAGACACGCAGGAGATGTGTTCACAGAGGTTAACAACACACCATTCCATCGGATGGCTGTGATTTGATTTGACTCCTAACTATTGAGAGCAAAGCTGTTGGCCTTCTGAAATGTTGAACTTCTCCCCACCCCATAGTGCAAATTGGGACTGGTTCATTGTGCTAACTGCATTAAATCATCTCAGTGTTAGATGATGTGACGTGTCTGAAAAGGCAGAGTTAAATGGTCAAGAATAGTAGTTAACTATTCCTGATTATTGCTCTTTTAAAAGACTACTCTATTTTTCTCCTCCAAAACTTTTCTAGAAACCTACGAAAAGTTTTCATTAGGACAAATCAAAACAGCCAGCAAAGCAGAGCTCTGTTTGGCCGAGGCCAGCTGGGGAGTCATTCATTTCTCCTGGATTGCTGGGGTTTGGGGGTTCCTTAGATCTTCCATTTGTGCTTGGTTGTATCTTCGTTTTGATAATCCTGCCTCAAAGAATTCCAGCCAGCTAGTGAGGCACGTTATTTCTTTCCTGGAACCACACGGGTCCCACTTAGCAGAGCCCCTGCTCTTCCTCTGTTTGACTTCTTAAAATAGTTTCTGAAGAATTTAACCACAACTGAATCAAAACTAACCAGCCTGTAATTTCCTGGTCGGTCCCCATGGCCTTTCTTTTAAAACAAAACACACGCGAAAAATGGCATTTTGATGGCTGATTTCCAGCTCCTTGGGGTTTGGACTGGAGGAAGCTGGGGAATGTCTGTGGGATCTTCTCCTAACTTCTCTTCATTTCTCTTTGGGAGCAGGCTTGTGTGGGCTTCATTACTCTGCATTATCAAAATTAGGCTTTCTTTTAATGAAATTTTTGCTGGATACTGTCAGTCCCTTGTTCTTTATGTCTGCCTTTTCCCCATTCTGGTGCATATCAGAAGACGGTACCATGCTCTCAGCACATAAGCTACAAACAGAAAGAGCCGTCCTTTCAGACAAAAGCATTCGCTGTAATGTTCTCAGAAAATGCGAGCAGATTGAATTCATCCGCGAAAGACACAATTAAAATACATTTGAATCTTCTCGGAAAGTCCTTTGCAAATATTCTTATTTCGGTTCTAAAAGATGGAAGATGCTGTTTACATTGGGTAGTGATATTCAAGGTCACTGATTTTGTCTGTAAGGTAGCCATAGCCATGTTCAGCTTTTCAGAACATTAAGTATTTTCTTTTAGCTTTTCAATCTAACTGAAATATAATGCACAATTAAGTAAGTGCTTATAATTAATATATAATGCAAAATTTGGAGTTAATTAGAAGTCAGAGTGAGAGAAATTAGAAATTTATATAATAGCTAAATCAAAACGTTACAGCACAAAAGCCAAGAGATTTATTTTAAAACCATACCAAATATTATGAGTGTGTTTGCACTCAGGGCACTGTGTCCGCAGATGTGTGTTTCAGTTAGCATTTGCTGAGTTGATGAACTAACGACAGAGGACAGTAACAGGACTAGAACTGTAGAATGATCATTGAGACAATGGTATGAGGGAGATTCATTTCTGAGCAAACACTCGTCAAATTTTATGGCATAATAAACAATCTAATTTGCTGCTATAATGCAGGACAATCATATTCAGAAGCTGTAAAATGTTAGAAATGTTTGTACAATAGAGCATGTTTCAAGTCTGTATCTATATCATCCTCTATATTTATCATAGTCTATATCTATATTGAAATATCTGGAAGTCCTTAGCAAAGTGTTTTCAAACAGGTTCAACGTTTTTAAAATTAGAAACTTCCAAGTGTATCCTAGAAATCAACATGCTAAAGATTTTACTTATTTTTCTTCAAAGTACCTCCTTCTTATAGTTTCCATGATGTTCATAACCTAGCAAGTTTTCTTTCAAAGCAGAAAGCAAAAGCAACGGCCAGAATCCAAGTGCAGCACGCTCTTCAACTTAACCAAGTCTAAAAGATCTTTTGTTCTATCTGGCACTTAAAACTGTAATTTACTATCTAACTACATTTAAAGAAAATTTTGATTGAGGAGATAGGACCAAATATATGGTGACACATTACATCTCTTTCAGGGGAGCTAAAAGTGCAGAGACAACCTAACTTCATGAGTTCTGTGTCCTCATCCTTGCCTCAACCTTTTCAGTAATTACTGCTATGGATTTTTTTTTTAAAAGAAAGCATTCATTGTTCATTTCCAAAAATCAAGCACAGAAAATATAAAATATTCTCAGGCTTAGACAGATGTAAGCAATATACTAGAATTAGCACATGAAAGCGAATATCTCTGTAGACTTAATAGCAAGTTTGAAAAAGCCGAAGACCCACTCCCTCTCCAAAAGCGAGCCTTCTTCTGGGCTCAGCAGAGGCAGAAAAATCCTCCTTCGTGTTGTGAACACGCTTCCCTTAGCTGGAGCAGGCTATATGCCGCACATGGCTGCTTCGCTCTCTGCCAGACTTTCGGCTGACAAGCATTAACCTCAATTGTTCCAACTAACCTCTCGGGTAGGGTCGCCGAAATGTACATAGATTACATCACCCTGCAAACAACCCCTTTCATCTCGCATTTATGAGGAGGACTTTCTGGGGAATAATCTAGTCCAATCAGTTTTCATCAATTTATTTAGCACCTACTCAGATGGTTTCAACTCAGACACAAGGGGCTAGTGCTCTGGGAACCAGTGATAATAAGGACATTAAATTAGATTATGTAATTGTCGGGTCTTAATTGCTCAGAGTTCTGTTACTGAGTCTCATGCTTTCTTCTTCAAAAATCTAAAGTTCAAGCCACGGTTTGTTAGACACTCGGACTTTCAACAAGCAAATCAGGGGTTTTCCATAGTCTCAGAATCTCCTAACCATGCTAATACAGGCCACCATTCAGAGAAATGCTGAGCGGAAGAATAACATACACATTTTATGTCATTTCATGCATTTAAAAAATTTCTCAAGTGTCTAAGATATTCTATTTTTATTTGGAGATTGCTTGCTGAAATCTGAAAATATCATAGTAAACATTTACTGAATTTTAATGGGCACGAACACACACAGGGACTCTCCAGCATGCTGTCCCTCTGTGCAGAAGTGCGGGCGGTTTACTAAACTCGCAGTTCACTCTCACGGTTCAAGTTCTCCCGTGACACTGGCATTTAAACACAAATGTAGAGAGTGCTATAGTAGTTTCAAATTGTCTACATTTTCTTCTGCTAACTCTTAACTTCTCTGAGCGTTTCTTGAGGTACAAATCTATGATCAAGGACAGAAAGAGCATCGGTAGAGGGAAAACTCGAATGTCAACTATTTCTGTGAATGGAGTTGTCCTGGGTGCAGGGAGCCACCCCAGTGAGAAGCTACATGGGGTTCTCTTAGGAAAGTATGGAGCCCTATATTGCAAGTACAAAGTGATGTCACCGCAGCCGCCACCACCACCACCATCATCATCTTATGGCCGTCACAACTATCCAGTTAGGGCTTTAATCAAATAGGATACCTATGTCTAAGGATTTTTTTCCCCAAAAGGTAAGGATGGCATACTTAGAATATATTTACCTTTTTGTTTTCCATTGGTTGGTTTTTGCCCTTTCTACTTAAGGTCACAAGGGATCCATATATAATCAATTTCACATATGCATGTGCATACATATCACACACATATGTATAGATGTATTTGGCATCACAAATATTTCAGCATGATTTGAAAACTACGGAAAGCATTTCTTATTTCAAATAATAATCATAACAAATGCCTCTGAATTGGGCATTGCTTTAAAATATTTAAAATATTTTTTCAGATACAAATGTGAATTAAAAAAACCACGCTGGTTGATTTCCACAGGCAAAGCTAATGAAAAGTTTCCATATGAGAAAAATGAATAAATAGAGGGTCTGGAAACAGGTGCTTGTCATTCTAATAAACCCTCCAAATGAATACCGCAGATAATTTAAATAGTTAGACCCTTACTTGAGGATTTTTCCCTCTTGTTTTGATATTTACTTCTTATGACCGTGTCTCTTTCCTGGGTCCCATTATTACTACAATATTATAGGATTCTACCTTAAGACCACCTTGATTATATGCCCTGGATATTGCCATTTTCACAAATGAGGGGACTTATTTTTAATGTTATTTATCACAACCCTTCAAACACGTCTGTGGGCAGCTTGTTCCCTAAGGAGCAGGAGTGACGTTTAGGTTTGTCAGGTCGTGAGCTATAGTAGCTTAGGATGGGGGGGATGTCTTTAACTGTGTTCCCCCTACTACTTGCTGAGCTCTGGGAACCCACGTGCCGTACAGTACCTTCTTTTCATTTTCGCGTCTCTGCTGGTCCTTTGATTTAACCTGGAGAAGTTGAAATTTCAAGAGTTTCCCTATCAACGGTAAGGTCAGTTTCTCTCCACTATCCATAATGGTTCTTGCTGCCAGCAACACCTATAAAGAAACACGATTATTAGGAAGGGTGACACTGTGCAATCTTTGATACAGCCTATCAGTGATAAGAGGATGGCATGGCACTTTATGTTTTCTGATATTTGTCTTAATGCAACAACAGGACACTGCTGGCCAAATACATGCAAGGGAAATATGCCCCTGATAATCATTTCATTATCACCCTCGCCTCTGGCAAGGCAGTGAACCCTGTGCAGTGGTGTCAGACTTCCAAAACTGTGCTACATAGACACAGGCAGGGGCTCATCTGGGATGACTGACAGGTCACGCTCATGCTAAGAGAGTTTGTTGTTGTTTGGCAGAGCTGGTAGTCCAAACTGTCAAACTTTGACTTATTAGGACAATATAATAGAATCGCGTTTTGTAACAGTGGAAATGACTATATTGGCAGTCTCTTATTTCTCGGTGACCAAATCCAAGTGAAAGATAAAAGCTGCTTGACACAGGGGCACCATACGAATGGTGCACCCCCCCCCCCGCAGCTTAAAGCTGATCCTGTTGGTATGCGGACTAATTGGGGTGAAATGAGGTTATTGAGTTTTCTTTGGGTGACGACAGGCCCTGGGAACATACAGCTGTATTGTCCAGATGTGTGGCACTGACAGCCTATTTTATGGCTGTGTTTTTTACAGCTTGTTTCCCCTAAATTTCACACAACTTTCTAACATCTGGGCCCTTTTCCTTGGAGCCCCATAACCACTTTATTTACTGCAAAAAAAATAAAATCATGTAAAATATACCATAAAAGTTGTTATGCGTTTCTCTTTATTCCTGTTGTCTCCCTAATAAAGTCTGCTTCTACCTGAAGGATCGTCACAGGAGCAATCTAGCGAAGGATTTTTCAACTTTTGTTTTTTTAAAGGAGCATCATATTTATTTATAACCTCGAGATGGATTAGGTGTTGCTAGAATGTTCTGACATGTGGCTTTTCTCCCCCCGCCTCATCGGAGCACTCGCCCCTCCGGTGCATATGGTGTCAATTTCAGGCGCTCCATCTAGACAATGACCGTGTACACTGCTTCTCCAGAGCCGTGTCTTGTCTGAGGCTCACGCTAGTTCTTGGGTCAGGGTTTCCATGACCGGTCCAGTCTCTCTGACTTTCCCCCTTGCCAAGGGAAATAGTTTTAAGAAAGGGGGGCGGGGCACATATTTTGCTCCAAACCGGAGAAGGCCCTGTGGATCTTCATGTGCCAAAATGTAATTGGACTTTGTAGAGAATCCACAGGTTCCTGCTCTGCACTGAGAATGAGAAACCCAGGAAGAGGAGGTCTTTAAAGATTTCCTTTCCAAAAACCAAAGGAACAAACAGAAACCCCAAACTTGTGGGGGGTGGGGTGGGGTGGGGTGGGGTGGGGGAGATGAGTGCTCCCAGGAAGCACAGTGCTTGCTTTTAGGGCAAATTCTGTCTTGCTGGCACAAGCTATGGAAAGGGCATGATTGTTATGATTTTAGGGATCAAGAAAACTGACAGGACACCTGCATCTCCTCTCCATTTAATGGTGACCAGATCCAAGATGTTCCGGGATTCTTAAGGGGAACTGCTGCCCAGGAACTGACTACACAATGAAGCTGTGTGACTGGACCCAACCCCAAGGGTGGGGGTTACTGTTTGGTTTGAGATGTCATTTTTCAATAGAGGTTGAATAGTGTGTTGACAATCAGGCTGCTTTGTGACATCTGGTCTCAAATATTCAACGCTGGGGTTTTAAAGCTCATGGCAGTCTGGCCTGGCACATTCTTGTGGAGTAACGGAGATTATGGCGGCACTGAAGGCAGTCTGTGCTGGAGCCGGCTACCCAGAGAGGTAGCTCAGCCTTCTCCTGGTGATCTGCAAGGATAGGATTCGCACCTGTGCCCAGAAAGGTTTGAGTGAAGCTTGGCTAGTGTCATGGTAACCAATGGGATGTATCCGGATGTGCTCCCTAGTCTCTTGACTCCAGGAGTCCACCAACATTGCCTCTCTGGGGTAAAATGTACTAGAAGCACAACCAAAAGTCCCCAGAGAGAAGCATTTTGCAGGCCATCAAAGTTAATTTGCATATCTGAAAGCTGTGGCATGCTGGGTTTCAGTAGACACCTGACATTTCATCAAAGGAGCAAGGATGTCTTCCTCTTGTGCGGAGATGGGTGGTGGGAAAGGCCACAGGGACAGCAGGCACTCTGCTGAAGATGCTAAGAGGGTACAGTAGAGGGTGATGGAGCTCCTGCTGGTTCCTTCTGCCTGGCCCTGCTGGTCCATCTGGAAACCACTCAGTGGCAGACAAGCCCACAGACAGCTCAACCTGAACCTGCAAGGGGCACCACCAGCAAACCCTGGACACCCGTGTCTTCTGGGCTTTCTCTGGCGCGACTTGACTCCAGATGCGGCTTTTTTGAATGCCCTTAGGATAACTAATGAAAGTAAGAAAAACAAGTCTGTGCCAGCTTAAAAGTTGAGACTGAACCCTTTCTTGTGGGGTGTGCACTGTCCCCAGGAGGGGCAGCAAAGAAAAGGTGTGTGCACGTGAGGTCCCACCAGCAGGTCTTTCCTTTCACACCGTTACTCGCAGATGTGGAGTCAGATATCAGGACTTGGGTTTCACATGGAAAACAAATCCTTGGCGGACTTTTGTTTGAAGGATGCCATTTAGGGAATTAAAAACTGAAAGGGAGGATTTAAGAGATGATTCTCCTTTCTACAGACCACTCTGGAAAGGCTTCGTTTTCCCCAGCTTATGTGTGCAAATTAGGGAGAAAGAATCAACCTTCCACCTTTCAGGCCTCTGAAGGAAACTTGTCCAGAAGTTAAAGTCAGTGTGTGCACATGCGCCTGGGTATGTATATCTCTTTTTGTATGCGTTGCAGTCCGTGTGCTCCCTCTTCTCTCTCTGCTTGTGAGTGAATGTGTGTATTCGAAAGCAAGATAACAAGGGTTGCAAGTATTGGTAGACTTGATGGATCACAGCAGCAGGAAGTTGGCTTCGATTAGATAAAAACCTAGGTTTCCCAAACTGATTAGAAAAGCAGTGATATTATGGGTTTGAACCTGGGCACTCATCAGGTCACTACCAAATAAAAGTGCCTGGCTTGAGTCAGAAACCCAACATGAAGCCCAGGGTGAAATGGACTCATTAATATGGTGAAGACTGTGATAGGGTGAGGCCTTAGATTCCCAGGGAGCTCCATAGGTCAGTGCTGTAGATGGAAGGACCTGCCCCATGAAAAGGCTTTGAGTAAAGTGACTGAATATGACCTATTCTTGGAAAGGCCACTGTAGAAGAATGTCAAGCATTGCAGTGGAGATGGGACACTTCAGAAGTGTGGATACATGTCCTTTCTCTTAGGATGCTTTGTGACTCTGAGCTTGCTAAGCAAGAACAATGTCTGACTCTGTATCACCGTGCATGAAGAAGACTCCATCATATTTGCCATCTAGTGACTTGAGACAACAAAAATAAAAGAAAGAAGCTAAATCTTTTCCTGGTCTGGATGTCAGTCAGACCCACCCACAGATACCAGTGCTCCCCCAACCACTCCTCCTCTTTGTAGCACCTTCTCACATACTAGACATAGGCAGATACCTTCCCAGGGCTTAGAACTGGTTCCTACATTCCCATGGCAAGTGGATGGATGAATGGATGGATGGAAGGATGGATGGACGGGTGGGTGGGGGGTGGATGGATGGATGGATGGAAGGATGGATGGATGGGTGGGTGGATGGATGGATGGATGGAAGGATGGATGGACAGATGGATGGATAGATGGATGAATGGATGGAAGGATGGATGGATGGATGGATGGATGGATGGATGGATGGACGGGCAGACGGGTGGATGGATGGATGGGTGGGTAGGTGGATGAATGGATGAATGGATAGATGGATGGATGGATGGATGGATGGATGGATGGATAGGAATCCGTGAGGTTTCTGCCCGATTTCCCCAGTGTGTTTACCACATGGGACAGTTTGTTTACTGCTTAACATGTGCACTTGGTCTCAAGTGAGTGCTGAGGATGAGCATAGATTTCAGACCTGCGTTTCTCCTACCAGGAGCACAGCTTTATGGCAAGCTGAGAAGGAAACAGAAAGCGGTCACTCTGTGTGTGAGAGAGGAGATGTAGAAGGCCAGGGGAAGCCATTTCTTTCAGAAGCTTTAAATAACTATGGTCCCCCTTGCAGGAAAAAGCTTTTGGTTAGAGAGTTTCTCTTGGGGGTCTATGGAATTTTTCTCTAACTGTGGTGATTTGCAAGGCATGATTTTATATTTAGCCCCCTATTTTGGGTAGATGACTTAGAATTGGGTGGATAATCCAGCACACAACAGCTAGATTATCAAGAGTATCAAGATTATTAACAAGAGTAGACGCTGATGCTGCCCAGACTAGCACAGAGCTGAGCAAACAGGCTTTTGGATACAGAGGATCTAATGTATATATATATATTTTTACTATCACCTTCTTTTGGATAGCTCATTTCCTCAGTGTATGATTGATTCATTAGCCATTCCCACAGTGAAAACATCTCAACAGTAGAAAAAGCAAGGCAGTAAAAAGAGACTATCTTCCCAAATGTGGCACCAGACCTCTTTCTAGGGATGACCACTATGAAGCAATCCACAAGCAGCCTTCTACAATTCTCTGCACATGCATAAGTGTATCTCTCTCTCTTCTCTCGTTCTCTCTCATATATGTGTGTGTGTGTGTATACACATATATGTATACACATATACCCTCTTCATGTTTTATACTACCTTTCTATTTATATGAGCAAATGATTTGTGGCTTGTGTTTTTATATAAAAATATCTGGAACAATTTGCTCTACTGACATGTTTTGCTCATGTGTGTATATTTTTTAATAGACAGTAGTCTTCTCTTGTACGTGTGTTTGGTAATTTAATTAAGTACACAAGCAGGTTATTTTTTCATATTAGGTGTCTATATATTCTTATTAGTAGCATTTTTGTTCCTACCAATATGTCATGAGTAGGTCTGTTGTCTAC